TCTGCATTACTATGTCTGTTAAAGTTATGCAATACTATGTCTGTTAAAAAATATTTGATTTATCCTTTATGACTTATTACATAAGATTATTTTGTGGGATAAAGAAATTCTTGCTGTTAGTAAAGTATGGAAAAAAGTAGCCTGCAATGTTACTCATATTAAATCATTGCTATATCTTACATATATTGATTGGGACCCAATTAGATACACGTTATGCACACAATTGCAGTACAAAATAACAACCATTGCAGCACAAAATTGCTATAATGGCTGTTAGTCTTTAGAGATAATATGGCCATCACTTGGACCTCCTAAAATTCTTTTTGATAATTAAAGGTCATTTAGATCATATTATGATTATGGAAACCATGGTGTCAAAATGGAAAATAAAACCTATCTATAGAGCTGATGAAAATTTGTCAGGAAATAGAATTGTTGAAAGTGTTTATTTATGATAAAAAGAACAAATACAGGTGAAAAATGTGAAATACCTCTGTAGTTTTGATCTAGTTTTAGTTTTTTGTAGTTTTAATGTAGTTTTAGTTTTTTGTAATTTTAATGTAGTTTTAATTTAGTTTTAATTTAGTTTTAAATCCAAAACTGGAGATGTGTCATAACCAATTTATACAGAGTCCCTGATTCCAGGTACTTGGAAGAAAATACTGGGTCTGAGTCTAGGTACCTTGCACCAAGTCCCTTTTAAAAAGTTAGAATGAAGTTGAATAAAAGCTTGTGAATTCTTTAGTGCTGAATTGTTTTCACAAAATAATGCTGATTAATTTGTGCCATGTAATTTGCTTATATAAGCTAATTAGGCTTAATTGCGCTATTTAATTTGTCTAAATATATAAAGTTTCTTTTTAATAAACAACTACATTTAAACTTGTGGTCACAAATGAAAATTAGGCAAACTAAAGTGTAAACTCGATGTCCGTAAATATTTTTTCTCCCTCAGAGTTGTTAATACCTGGAATAACTTGCCGTCTGATGTTGTTAATGCCAAAAACATCTGGAGCTTTAAAATTAAAACTAACTCTATCAACTTCAAAAATACTGTTCCGACTTACTAATTTTTGTTTTATAATTGTGATATTATATGTAATATATATTTTTTGTAATTTATTGCTAAATAATCTCTAATATGTGCTAATTAATCAAAATTTTGCATCACTGATTTTTATCCGTATAAATCAGTTTCCTTTATGCAATAAATTATAATTATTATTATTTAATTTTAAGTGAGACACATTTTTTGTTAATAAAAAATTTTTTCAAGATACCCGGTGTTAGGTACTGCAACAAAATGGCAGATTCCGGGTACCCGGAAAAACAGCCAAATTATTGGGTCTTTGGGTCTGAACCGGGTACCTGGCACATCACTAATCAAAACATAGTTCACTTTTTAAAACCTTTTACCAACATAATAAACACATTCAAATTTCCAGACTTGATTAAGCCAAATCAATAAAAGTTTTTTGACTGAATTTTAGTCAGAAAATTGTAGGTGAAACCTAAGCATATGATACCATGTACATAATGATGGTTGAGAGGCAATATAGTAATACTACATAATCGCCTTACAGGCCTTGTAATCAATAAAAAATGCATAAAGCTTAATTATAATGCAACTTGTTATATCAAATATATAAATTATTTTTATATTTGTTGGTTTATTTAAACTAGAACTTTGGTTCGCACTAAACAAAAAATTCATTCTACAACAACCCTACATATGTAAAAAGCAAATATTATGTTTTTAAAAAGTTTGTAAATAGTCACACAAAAATGATGCAGTAGTGGCGTAGTGGTAGAGCGGTTCCGAGTTTGATCTCCACCACATCCCTGGTAGTACCACACTCAACTTTTTTATCCGCTCAGCAGTCTTGTTTGTGAAGGCTTGTATTTCGGAATTATAAAGTTGAGAGAAGGTTATGACCACAATTAAATAGCCTTCTAGTCTGTAGTGGCCTTCTGGACTTTGGGGAGGTAAGCTAATATAAAAAAAAAAAAAGTTGAACAAAAATTAAGAAAATTTTATATGGAGGTCTGATTCCATTGTTGGAGCCATATGGTAATAAATAAAATATAAATATATAAATAAATGCCATAAAATTTGCATATATGGTTTTTATAACCATCAGCCATCCCTCCGAGCAATTGATCTAGGAAAATAATCTGGCATCAACTGACAGGGAGGGAATTTTATTTATAGATCATTTAATAAAAATTTGTTTGTAACTTTTAGTTACAAACAAATTTTTATTAAATGATCTATAAATATATTTTATAAAATATATTTTAATTTCTTTCCAATCGTAGTATAAAAGTTGTCCTCGATGGACAACACTCTTCTTCACATCCTGTAACTTCAGGGGTTCCTCAAGGTTCAATCCTTGGCCCTATACTCTTTTTAATTTACATTAACGATCTTCCAGATATTCTCACATCTAAGGTGGCATTATTCGCTGACGACACTACCATTTACTCTTGTCATGATAAGAAGCCTACACTCTCTGATTGCTTGGAGGGGGTATCTGAGCTTGAAAAGGATCTCACTTCTGCTACAGCATGGGGCTCACAGTGGCTGGTGAACTTTAATTCAGATAAAACTCAATTTTATTCGGCCAATCGTTATCGTAATAATTTAGATCTTCCTATATTTATGAATGGTAATGTACTAGATGAGTCATCTACCATTCATCTTCTAGGATTAACTCTTACTTCTGATCTTTCTTTTAAACCGTATATCAAATCCATTGCAAAATTAGCATCTGCTAAGGTTGCATCTCTTTATCGAGCTCGACACTTTCTTACTCCAGATTCTATTCTCTATCTCTATAAATCTCAAATCCGGCCCTGTATGGAATACTGTTGCCACATCTGGGGCGGATCTTCTAATGATGCTCTTTCTCTTTTAGACAAGGTGCAAAAACGAATTGTAAACATAGTTGGACCTGCTCTGGCAGCCAATCTCCAACCTTTGTCACATCCTCGTAATGTTGCTTCTCTTTCACTTTTCTACAAATACTATAATGGGCACTGCTCTAAAAAGCTAGCGTCCCTTGTGCCATCTACTAAAATTCATTCTCGTGTTACTCGCCATTCAATTAAGTCTCATCCTTTTTCTGTGACTGTTCCTAAGTGCTTCAAAAACTCTTATTCTTCTAGTTTTTTTCCTCGAACATCAGTTCTTTGGAATTCGCTTCCTTCATCTTGCTTTCCTGATTCATATAATTTGCAATCTTTTAAGTCATCAGTCAATCGTTATCTTGCTCTACAGATTTAGTCTTTTCTCTTCCAGTAACTTCCAACTCTTATAGTGGTTGCTTGCAGCCTTGTTGGAAGTGAAGATGTTAAAAAAAAAAAAAAAAAAAAACATGGAAACATGCATAAACTCGAATGTTCTCAAACATCTTGTGCAGTGTGGTATGACTTGCAAAATAAGTACTGCAAGTGGTGTGATTTGCAAAATTAGTTCTGCATGTGGTGTGACTTGCAAAATTGGTATCACAAAGTGGTGTGACTTGCAATATTTTTGATAGATGGTTCTGGCTTACATTGAGGTGTCTATTGTTAATAATGACTATTATTTCGTTTCATTAATGAAATTGCAAATTTTATTCATTTACTAAAAGCCAAGACAAATTCATTACTATTTGTTTGTTATAATATTTTTATTTGAATAATTTTTTAGGTTCGAGGGGGGTTTAAATGCCCTCCAAGAATAAAGGGCATTATATATATTTTTATCATATATTTATTAAATTTTATATCATTTTCTCTCTTTGTAAATAATCACATTTAAAATATTTTTTTATTTGTTTGTTTTAATTTGAGGAGAAGTGCGAGGGGAGCACATATCCTTGCCCATTTCTCTGAAAAATGGTTACTTAAATGGATAATGCATTGAAGTAAAGTATGTTTTGATACCAATTTCTCTTTGCAAATAATCACATTCAAAATCTTTTTTTTTTTGTTTTATTTCAGACTTGAGAAAGAAGGGAGGAGAGAGGGGGTTGAAAACACACATCCTTTCTTCCTTTTTCTGAAAAAAGGTAGTGGTCTAAAAATAAATTACATTAAGTTTTTGCATACAAAAAATTACCAATTTTACAAAAAAGACACTCTTCTATCGAAGAAATATGCATTTTGGAGTGGTAAAGATGGTGGTTCAGCACCCCTCTAGCCTCCTGGATATGTCCAATGGTAGACACTATTAAATATTTGTAGCCCACTGTTACATCTATCTTTTGATACCAAGTTTTAGGCATTTGGATAAGAATTGACAAAGTTATAACAATTTTAGTGAAAAAAAACAACTAAAATTTGACCACAGTTTCTTCAACAATTCTTGCTTCTAAAAACATCAACAATATTTGCTACTAAAAACCGCAACTTTTTGTAGAAATGTCTGACTTTGATCATTTTTCACCTTTACAATATTGTATTAAAGGGCTTTTCAATGATATATAAGATTCTAGTGTTTAATCAATTTAAAATTTTCATGTCACGTACCTTATATAATGTTATATTATATAATTGTATAGCGTTATTAAATGTCTAGCCAACCTTTATTTTCAATGAAATTTAGCATGTAGTAGGAAAAAAAGGTTTATAATGATGAAAAAACTGATTAATAAATGATACAGCATTCCTTTGATAAAACTTGATTTGCATTTCTTATTAATAAAAATCAATCGACCAAATTTTATCATAACCTGAACTTTAATATTTTGATCTACTTGACATGACCCTGTAACATAAATGTATTCTACATAAAGACTTGTTCATATTTTTTGTCAAAATAATTATATTCTGATGTAATTTATATATCTATAATTTTATGCTATTAGAAAACTTTAAGAGTTAATACAAAAGTAAAAGTATGATTGGTTAATGGTTAAATAAATTTTTAGAGTATTTTTAACTTATAAAAACTTATAATGAGTAGAAAATAAAAAATAAAAACAAAGACTAATTAACTAATAAATAATGAATACCTTTTGGAAATTGAAAAAACTCTTTCACCAATGGTAACATTACAACACCAACATATTGGGAACAGTATTACATAAAAAAATGCAATATATGTTTTATTCATAACTTTCTGGAAAAAAAAAAAAAGTGTTTGATTCAAGTCAGCATTTCAAAATTAAAGAAAACAGAATATATTAGAACTGTCCCAACTTAATACATAGTAGTAAACAAAAAATAATAACTTTTATATTTGAAATAAAGATTTAGACATATATCATACTTAAATAATTACTGCCTCAACAAAAACTGTCTGTCAATCTATGGATTCCTATTGTTAGTGTTCATTACAACAGTTATTTAAAATAGCAGGAAACATTGTTTTAAGGTTGTTTAACTGCAAATTTACCAGGATGAGAATCAAGTTTCAACATATTATGCTATTAATTTTATAGTATAATATTTTGACACTTAATTCTCATCCTGGAAAATCCGCAGTTAAGCGCCCTAAAAAATAAAACCTTTAAAATGAAACTAAAATTAAGTTAACCCAGACATTCATCAAAAAGAATGACCATATACTTGGGAAAAAAAATGAAGTTATTGCAAAAAACATTTATCAAGTTAGTGTAAGACCTTGAATTAGTACAAGGAAAGCTTAAGAAAACTTTCAACTAATTAATACAATTTTTTTTCCTTTTCATTATGACATATTAGATGTTAAAAATAACAGAATACCAGGTGTTTTTAGTAGTCGTATTAAAACGTCAATATAGCTTTGCGGACGGGTACGAGATACTAACTGATTGCGCCAACCAATGATATATTAAAAATAACCCAACTAGCACACGTACATTGATAAAACGTTAGAACAATGTTGTGCCTTGCGTTGGCCCAACATCGACCGCCAACGTTGTTTTTATATCATTTTGCTTACAAATACGACGTCTTTAACAACCAAAACACAACTTTAGTTCAACGTTGTGTTTTAAGTCGCCATTGCGTAATGTTTTACGTTGATTCAACGTTGTATTTTACGTTAGCGCAACGTTGTATTTTAAGTTGGCAAAATGTTGTATTTTAAATTGATTCAACGTTATATTTTACGTTTGCAAAACTTTATATTTACCTTTTATCGTAATTGAATTAATTTGTTTTATGTTAAGCATATACATATCCCAGCTAGCACACGTACGTTATTAAAACATTAGAACAATGTCGCACGTTTCGTTGGCCCAACATCGGCTGCTAATGTTGTTTTTATATCATTATGGTTACAAATGCAACGTCGCCAACAACTAAAAACCAATATTGATAAAACGTTTCTTTAAAGTCGGAAAATGGTTATACTTTCTACGTTGATTTAACGTTATATTTTATACGTTGGCCCAACTTTGTATTTACATTGATTCAACGTTGGACTTTAATTGGAAAAACGTTGTATTCAATATTATTCGGAATTAAATTTTCATTAAATTCTATTTTCTTTTTATAAATATATATATATATATATATATATATATATATATATATATATATATATATATATATATATATATATATATATATATATATATATATATGTATATGTATGTATATATAAGTGTATGTGTATATATATATATATATATATATATATATATATATATATATTGCTGAGGAAAGCATTATAAACATTTATATGGATGTCAACGCTTGATCATCGCAACAAAAATCATGTTTGTGTTGTTTGTGGTTTGAGATTTTCTTTAAGTTATATAATTTCGCAATACCAATGTTTGCTCGCATTCATTGGATCAACGTTGGGTTTAGATCGTAAAAACAATCAATATTTTGTGATGTTTTTACATACATTGGAAAAATATTGATTTATATACATTGATTCAATGTCAAGATATATACATTAAATCAACGTTGGGTTTAGATCGTAAAAACAATCAAATGTTTTCGATGTTTTTGCATACATTGGAAAAATGTTGATTTATATACACTGAATCAATTTCAAGGTATATAAATTGGATCAACGTTGCGTTATTATTGTAAAAACTTTCAAATTTTTTTGATGTTTTTACATACATTGGAAAAACGTTAATTTATATACATTGAATCAACGTCGAAATATATACATTGGATTAACATTGGGTTTAGATCGTAAAAACAATCAACTTTTTGCGATGTTTTTATATACAATGGACCGATGTAAATTTGCCAGATGTTTTTAGTTCTGTCGGTAATAATTTTATCATTAACAAAATGAGATTGGATCAACGTTGGTTTTGCATTGAAAAAAAAGAGCCGACGTTCGCGATGGTTTTACAAACATTGGCCTAATGTAAGGGTGCTAGCTGGGTATAAACATAAAATATTATAAATTTTTGCGCATATATAATTGTATATATGTATGTATACATACATATTTCCACCATTTAGATGATGAATTATAATTGCTTATTACAAACGTTTATACTTTCATATTGCATCCAGGGCCGTGCAGAGGGTGAGTTACCCGAGCAAATTACTCGGAGCCTCGGACCCTATGGGGCCCCCAACAGTGACAATAACATTCCGAGATTTTTTTCCTTCTTTTTTTCCCGATCAAGAGTTTTAAGTTAAATAATATTTAAACACCTCATTAAATTTAATGAAAATCGCTGCAAAAAAGAGCCTAGGATCTAATAAAATAAATTTAGCTTTGCGTAATTTATAGACGATCCCTAACCCTGGCCTGGAAGACTTTTGTTTAAATCTTATCTATATACATAACTTAAATTTTGTGGAATCAAATCACAGGATCAAATCTTATTTTAGAAGATGAACTTACTAAAGAATTGCTTCACATAAAACAAATTCATAAGGCACATTTTGGAAAGAAAATCTCTTGCCCCATTTGATTTATTAAACAAATTTCTAAAATGAAGCTTCAAAATTCTTTAGAAATGTAGTGATTTCATTGCGTATTTTTGCTTTAATTCCAGTGACAGTGGTCTCAAGTGAGCGTTCATTCAGTAAATTGAAGCTCATCAAGAGTTTTTTGCGCTCAATTATGGGACAAGAAAGAACAAGTGACCTCGCCATTTTAAATATCGAGTGTCTATCAGCACGAATTCTTGACCTCCATGAAATTAAGAATTAGCTAAGAAAAATAACATTGTAAGAAACAAAAGCTAGTTAGGTAATATGGGGATTGGAGTTCACATTACATGAACTATATTACATGAACTCTTCTTTGACTTTCTTTGTCATCCTGAAAAATCAAACTGAAGAATACATGAGGCCCCCAAACTATGTGCACAATCAAGAATGCATCTGATTAAAGAGACATTATTCATGTTTGTTTTGCTTGTGGCTTGATATTTCATAACATAAAAAAGAGAAAAATATATCAGCAAAATATATTTCCATAATCAACTAAAACACTTAAATGAAAATAATTCCTATGAATTATACAAATGAATATTTGTATATCTACCTTTTCTCGATGCAAACTCAACGTTGATCCTCTGTATAAAGTACAATGTTATTCCAATGTATGTATATGCATTAAATCAATGTGTTTATACACGCATTGTTGGATTAATAACATTGGAACAACGTTGAGTTTACATCGTAAAAACAATCAACTTTTTGCATTGTTTTTAAATACGTGGACCAATGTAAAAGTTCCAGCTGTTTCTAGCTCCGTTGGTATTTATTTCATCATTAAACAAATGACATTGGATCAACGTTGATTTTGCATTGGAAAAAAAAGCCAACGTTTGCGATGGTTTTACATACGTTGGCTCAATGTAAGTGGGTTGCCACTACCAATGACGAATCCAGTAAATTTTTAGTTTTTTAGTTTTGTACTACAATAGCATCTTGTAAAAAAATAATAACCCCCTAATTAAGTCTGCTTTTTAATAAAAGCAGACTTAATTAAGGAGTCGTCGACGTATTACACTGCTAGCACACTTACATTGGGCCAACGTATGTAAAACCATCGCGAACGTCGGCTCTTTTTCCAATGCAAAACCAACGTTGATCCAATCTCATTTGGTTAATGATAAAACTATAACTGAGGGAACTAAAAACATTTGGCAAATTTACATTGGTCCAATGTATGTAAAAACATCGCAAAAAGTTGATTGTTTTTACGATCTAAATCCAATGTTGACCCATTGTATATATTTCGACGTTGATTCAATGTATATAAATCAACATTTTTCCAATGTATGTAAAAACATCGCAAAAAGTTAATTGTTTTCACAATCTAAACCCAAAGTTATATATTCATATTCATATTCATATAAAGAAAACAGAATTTAATGAAAATTTAATTCCGAATAATATTGAATACAAAGTTTTTCCAATTAAAGTCCAACGTTGAATCAATGTAAATACAATGTTAGGCCAACGTATAAAATATAACGTTGAATCAAAGTAGAAAATATAACCATTTTACGACTTTAAAAAAACGTTTTATCAACATCGATTTTTAGTTGTTAGCGACGTCGCATTGTAAACATAATGATATAAAAACAACGTTCGCAGCCGATGTTGGGGCAACGAAACGTGCGACATTGTTCTAATGTTGTAACAACGTATGTGTACTAGCTGGGATGTATATATCTCAATATTACCCAGCTAGCACACTTACATTGGGCCAACGTATGTAAAACCATCATGAACGTCAACTCTTTTTTCCAATGCAAAACCAACGTTAATCCAATGTCATTTAATTAATGATAAAATTATTACCGACGGAACTAAAAACATATGGCAAATTTACATTGATCCAATGTATGTAAAAATATCGCAAAAAGATGATTGTTTTTACGATCTAAACCCAATGTTAATCCAATGTATATATTTCGACGTTGATTCAATGTATATAAATTAACGTTTTTCCAATGTATGTAAAAACATCGAAACAGCTTAATTGTTTTTACGTTCTAAACCCAACGTTGATCCAATGTATATATTTTGACGTTGATTCAATGTATATAAATCAACGTTGATCCAAGGTATGTAAATAGATCGCAAAAAGTTGATTGTTTTTACAAACTAAACCCAACGTCGATCCAATGGATTCGACCAAGTATAGCTATTACGAAATAATATAATTTAAACCTTTTACGAAATAATTTACGAAATAA